TACTTTGTTATATACCCTTTGTTGGCAATGACAGAGGTCAAACGTTTTCTGTAAGTCTTCACAAGGTTTTCACACACTGTTGCTGGTATGTTGGCCCATTCCTCCATGCAGATCTCCTCTAGAGCAGTGATGTTTTGGGGCTGTCGCTGGGCAACACGGACTTTCAACTCCCTCCAAAGATTTTCTATGGGGTTGAGATCTGGAGACGGGCTAGGCCACTCCAGGACCTTGAAATGCTTCTTACGAAGCCACTCCTTCGTTGCTCGGGCGGTGTGTTTGGGATCATTGTCATGCTGAAAGACCCAGCCACGTTTCATCTTCAATGCCCTTGCTGATGGAAGGAGGTTGTCACTCAAAATCTCACGATACATGGCCCCATTCATTCTTTCCTTTACACGGATCAGTCGTCCTGGTCCCTTTGCAGAAAAACAGCCCCAAAGCATGATGTTTCCACCCCCATGTTTCACAGTAGGTGTTCTTTGGATGCAACTCCGCATTCTTTCTCCTCCAAACACGTCTAGTTGAGTTTTTACCAAAAAGTTCTATTTTGGTTTCATCTGACCATATGACATTCTCCCAATCCTCTTCTGGATCATCTAAATGCTCTCTAGCAAACTTCAGACGGGCCTGGACATGTACTGGCTTAAGCAGGGGGACACGTCTGGCACTGCAGGATTTGAGTCCCTGGCGGCGTAGTGTTACTGATGGTAGCCTTTGTTACTTTAGTCCCAGCTCTCTGCAGGTCATTGACGGTCCCCCCGTGTGGTTCTGGGATCTTTGCTCACCGTTCTCGAGATCATTTTGAACCCACGGGGTGAGATCTTGCGTGGAGCCCCAGATCGAGGGAGATTATCAGTGGTCTTGTATGTCTTCCATTTTCTAATAATTGCTCCCACAGTTGATTTCTTCACACCAAGCTGCTTACCTATTGCAGATTCAGTCTTCCCAGCCTGGTGCAGGTCTACCATTTTGTTTCTGGTGTCCTTTGACAGCTCTTTGGTCTTGGCCATAGTGGAGTTTGGAGTGTGACTGTTTGAGGTTGTGGACAGGTGTCTTTTATACTGATAACGAGTTCAAACAGGTGCCATTAATACAGTTAACAAGTGGAGGACAGAGGAGGCTCGTAAAGAAGAAGTTACAGGTCTGTGAGAGCCAGAAATCTTGTTTGTTTGTAGGTGACCAAATACTTATTTTACCGAGGAATTGACCAATTAATTAATTAAAAATCCTACAATGTGATTTCCTGGATTCTTTCCCCCCATTCTGTCTCTCATAGTTGAAGTGTACCTAGGATGAAAATTACAGGCCTCTCTCATCTTTTTAAGTGGGAGAACTTGCACAATTGGTGGCTGACTAAATACTTTTTTGCCCGACTGTACATACAGTATAGCTCTGTGTGCTTAATGCTGATTTTCTTGCTATTTTTACATGCTGTGTATTCATCGGGTCAATGTGGCTGTGTATTATTCATGGAGCCATTGTGTTGTTTTCTTAATGTATCTGTAATGTAAAGCCCAGTTTGTTTACATCACATTAAGCCATGGATGAAGGGAACATCCAGGTACTTACATAAGAGATGAAGTGTGTGTGTGTGTGTGTGTGTGTGTGTGTGTGTGTGTGTGTGTGTGTGTGTGTGTGTGTGTGTGTGTGTGTGTGTGTGTGTGTGTGTGTGTGTGTGTGTGTGTGTGTGTGTGTGTGTGTGTGTGTGTGTGTGTGTGTGTGTGTGTGTGTGTGAAGCTACTTGCTCTGTAATACACGATTGCTAATGAGGTCTGCACAAACAATAGGCTACATCTTTAGCAGTGACCCATATGAGTAAGAGACATGCATTATTCATGTGGGTGGTAGTGTGTACAATTTGTGGAGATAAGAAGGAAAACAGGAAGAGAAAAAGGGCCTTCTTCATTATACTATTACTGATTGCAAGGGGAAAACAATTAAGCCAAATAAATGTACACAACACAACTCTTTCTAAAACACATTTTCATTATATGTAATTGGGTGTTGGTCAGGTGGTCTTCACAAGAAAGACGTGATATCTTCTGGTATCTTTTCATCTAAAAACACCTTAATGGAAAATTAGCATAATGCCTTGTTTTTCAAGATAAGGTTTTACCAGAAACGCTTACACCTCTTGTGTCCAGGAAGTAGGTATACATTCTGCTTTTAATATCTTGTAGTCTTCTCTCAAAAAGAGACATGTTATTCATTGGTATCTTTATGAAGTCCTTACTAGAAAGCCATATAACTTTATATTCATAATGTAATTGCTTTTATCCGACAAGCTATACTGACTGGCACTTATTTCCAGGAACTAGGTTGAAAAATCTGCTTTTAATTTTAGTGCACTCGAACATAACACTTCCTTAAAAATCCCCCACTAGTTCCTTCCGGGCATTTTAGAAATTGATTTTAAAGCGTATTATGCTCATATTTCACTTCCCTTTCTGCAGAAGAAGAAAGAGAATCACAGACTACAAGGGGGATCAGAGTCTGGTGGAAGCCTGCCTATCATCCACTGGGAATGTCACACACACGAATCGGTCCATCTTCTTTATCCCATCTCTTTCTGCAATTCATGACTTTAAATGAGTGAATCCAGACTCTTTCAGATACTGAACATGCTCTTCAAACTGATCCTGAAGCAGCTGTGCCCCTCCCCCTCCCCTCTTTGAACTCCTGGAACTCATTGTGAGTGAATTTGCAGCTGATTGCAGGGGAGGAAATCACTCAGTGACGCATGAGAACAGCCAGCTCTCATGCTTGAATTTTCATGAGGTGTATCACATCGGCAAAAGAAACATGACTGGTTCATGTGCACAATGCTTCCATTTTACAGCTGTAGCCAGAAATGCTAAGCACATGTCCAAACAATTCATAACATGCTTCCTACCTGTCCTTCACGTCTTCATTTGAGGGCCTTCCCTTCTCATCTTCTTTCAGGGGATTTATTGGTGGTAAATTGGTAGAAGAAAACGCCCAAATTGTAACCAGTTGCTTTTAAGAGTTTCTTTAAAAGACTGTATTCTTTCTCTGTTGTCTTTCCTAGAAAATTCCCAAAATGTTTAACCTTCCTAACGGAGTGAAATGACCCGGAAGTCCCTCAGTGGCAGCCATGATAAGAGCTGTTAGAATTCTCTAGATGATAGGAAAGGAGGTTTGAAACTTCCTTTATAACCTCCTTTAGCTTAGGAAACACTGGACCTTCCTTTACTAAAGGAAAGGAGAAAATGCTGCCCCACAATGCCTTGCGGCCGCCACGTTTACGTGACACAACATTCACGGAAACAACCGATCTTGACCGAGAAATTAGTATCATGAAAGTAATGGTGCTTATTAAGCATTTTACAACTTATGTGGTAACTTGCCAAAGTGCTTTGTTTTGAATGTAACTATAATAATACTATAATAATCTAAATGAGAAATATGAGCGTTTTTTTACTGAAATTATCAAATAAAGTCAACATTTCACAGTGTTTACTGAGCTGTGTGGGGGTTCTTAAACGTTACACATGTTTGAATGGTGATATACACAGTGATAGGTTAAGGACCTAAAAAAAACACGTTTATAATAAATACATTTGTATGTATTTTAAGATCTTGGCATACAATCATACGTATTGGGATCATGTGGATTAATACGTGTGGTCCGGAGGGAGACAAGCTTCATTTTCACTTTACTTTTTTATTTAAATTCCAACCTAATGAGGAATATATGTTTGACTGTTGTCCACGTTCATAAAGTATAAAAAAACACCATCAGAGCACGGTGCAAAGTATCTAGATGCGCTTACAGTAGTCCACCGTTATTATTAAAAATCCATGTAGCCTTCTCAAAGCACCGCAGTCTCTTTTCCTAAATCCTTTTGAATTCTCCTAAGCACTATTCCTTAACCTATTCCTGACGTATCACACAGAGGTCAAAGAATAGTGGATAGGAATAGTGGATAGGAAAAGACGATAGGAGCTGATTATTTGGACAATTTGACTGCAACCAGTGTGTGTAGTCCAAAGAGGTGTTTGTGTGTGAGTGGCCTCCCTGCAGGGCTTTATATAATCTCTGGACCAGTCCATAGTCAATTGCAGGGGAGAAACAACATCCCCCTCCCTAAAAGATGTGGTTTAGATTAAGTTTCTCCCAAGGACACCCCTCTGGCTTTTAGCAGATGGTTCCTTCCAATTAGCCAGGTGTGTTTCTCCAGCCAGGAGCTGCCATTTTTTAAAATGTATATTTAGCTTCAAGCCATGGATATATCTGATATACTAAAAACAGTGTATGTAGTGTGGTACACCCCAACAATGTACAATTATTTGTGTGTCTACTTTTATTTATTTAGCTCAACAATCAAATTATTGTTTGGAAGAGCTCAACAGATGATTTTATTTCTTAATATATAGATTACATATCTAAGAAATGGGTCTTTGATAAATGCTTTATAAACTCAACAGTTAGGTTACAGATGTCATTTTGAACTGTTAACAAAGTTATTTTTGTTAAAGGTGTTTATGTTGATAGAAAGTGTGACTTTATAGCTATATGTGTTTATATTGAATATGTTTGAGTATTTGAGTAACAGCTATACACATTGAGTGTAAATTATATATATGTGCAGATTTGACATTTGTTTATGACACTACACTATAGTATTCAGTGTTTACCTTGTGCAGGGTCGAGTGTTTAAAGGAGACATCTGTAAATAGGAGGGGATAAAAGTAGTTTTTTGAAGATGATATTGCACTTTAGTACCATAGATGCACTGAGGTATGAACTGTCACTCAAACAAAGAAATGTGATGTTTGTAAGAATGTGTGTATTTAGAGTTTGAATAAGAAGGAATCCACCTGAATCCTGTCTCCGTTATTGCTGTGCTTTCTTCTACAGATATCTCTACTGTTGCTTTTAAGACCCATAACATTAGCATTTGGTCAGCAACTGATTTTTCCAGGAACCTCCCAGTGACATGTGTAATCATTCTAAGTGTGTGTGTTTTCTCTCTCAGATTCAGAGGTGGTTTACAGGAACCGCGACGGCCACGTTATCAAGTTTAACTTCGCCTCCAACGAGACGGACTTCATCCTGGCCAACAGCACGTTTGTCAGTGCTTTTTTTTAACCCTTCTCCTTATTTTGTTCTTTTGAAATATGAATTACGACGGGACGTTTTAGCAGTTTTAGCTGATTCATGCCTATGGGTTGTATTACATAGGAGATCATTTACTCACTGCCATCTCAACTATAGGTCAACATGAAATAGAGCAGATGCATAAATCATTATAAAACACTTTATATGATTAAGTTAAACCTTGTCTGAAGCCTAGATACGTACAAGAAGCCACAGATTGACCCATTTATTTATGTAAAAACTGGGATATTCTGCACCTTTTTTGTGCTGGATTATCGGTATATTAGGCATAAAAGATTATGAAAATAAAGTACTTTCAGCTTTCAACACTTTTTAGTACGAGATTTTTTTTTAGTCAGTGCTCTTTCTAAAATACGGAAGAGGATTAGGGCCACATGATTTTTTTTTTGGGAGGATTTGAAAAAAAAACGTTTTTCTTTGTGCTGACTTTTTTTTCAGAACAAAACTAAAAGTTTTTTTTTCAAATCCTCCCAAAAAAATCATGTGGCCCTAATCCTCTTCCGTATTTTAGAAAGAGCACTGACTAAAAAAAAATCTCCATCAGAGACTCAACAGAGACAATCTGTGTAGGAATAAAGTACATTTGGGACTATAGGCCTCCTGTACATTGCTGCTACATGTAGCAAGTCCTCGCTAGTCTTTGAGGCGTGATTGGCTCCCCGGAGGCAGCAGGAAACATGTCAGAGCAGACTCTTGATATGACAGTATCCTGCAGGGAGTGTGTGTAGCATGTCGGCAAATCTGCTCCCCTCACCTCATCTCACCTCTACCATCATCATTTCATTTTATTTCAAACCTTTATACAGATAAATCCCATTGAGATCATTGATCTCTTTTTCAAGGGAGACCTGCTCAAGTAGTTCCACATGAAACAGGAAGAGAGAGATAATATTCTAGATTAGTGTTTATGCAATCAAATTACTGAATAGATAGTCTGATTATCTTCCTGCGAACCAAAATCCTGCTTTAAATGTGTAATTTAAAAGGGAATGTTTATTAAATGCAGAATACATTTAGCTGTTTGCATCGTTATAATCAGTGTTTTAGTGTTCTCCTTTTGGCCTCTAGGTACGTTTTTCTTTTTTTACTGAATTGTTGAACCTTGTGGTAAATGGTTGCATAAGCGGATTTAATAAGGATTTTGGGCGCTGTTGTTAGCTAGCAAATGCAATCAAAAAGCAAAGGTGGCCTCGATGTTTTAAGAGTTGACCCCTTAAACTGAAAACTGTCTGAAAATAGCAGAATTTTCAGGTGTATATCAGTATGTAGTGTCTCTACTTTAAAGAGTCCTCTCCTGCTCATGTTCAGGTGTATATCAGTATGTAGTGTCTCTACTTTAAAGAGTCCTCTACTGCTGATGTTCAGGTGTATATCAGTATGTAGTGTCTCTACTTTAAAGAGTCCTCTCCTGCTGATGTTCAGGTGTATATCAGTATGTAGTGTCTCTACTTTAAAGAGTCCTCTCCTGCTGATGTTCAGGTGTATCAGTATGTAGTGTCTCTACTTTAAAGAGTCCTCTCCTGCTGATGTTCAGGTGTATATCAGTATGTAGTGTCTCTACTTTAAAGAGTCCTCTCCTGCTGATGTTCAGGTGTATATCAGTATGTAGTGTCTCTACTTTAAAGAGTCCTCTCCTGCTGATGTTCAGGTGTATATCAGTATGTAGTGTCTCTACTTTAAAGAGTCCTCTCCTGCTGATGTTCAGGTGTATATCAGTATGTAGTGTCTGTACTTTAAAGAGTCCTCTCCTGCTGATGTTCAGGTGTATATCAGTATGTAGTGTCTGTACTTTAAAGAGTCCTCTCCTGCTGATGTTCAGGTGTATATCAGTATGTAGTGTCTCTACTTTAAAAGAGTCCTCTCCTGCTGATGTTCAGGTGTATATCAGTATGTAGTGTCTCTACTTTAAAGAGTCCTCTCCTGCTGATGTTCAGGTGTATATCAGTATGTAGTGTCTCTACTTTAAAGAGTCCTCTCCTGCTGATGTTTCAGGTGTATATCAGTATGTAGTGTCTCTACTTTAAAGAGTCCTCTCCTGCTGATGTTCAGGTGTATATCAGTATGTAGTGTCTCTACTTTAAAGAGTCCTCTCCTGCTGATGTTCAGGGTGTATATCAGTATGTAGTGTCTCTACTTTAAAGAGTCCTCTCCTGCTGATGTTCAGGTGTATATCAGATATGTAGTGTCTCTACTTTAAAGAGTCCTCTCCTGCTGATGTTCAGGTGTATATCAGTATGTAGTGTCTCTACTTTAAAGAGTCCTCTCCTGCTGATTTCAGGTGTATATCAGTATGTAGTGTCTCTACTTTAAAGAGTCCTCTCCTGCTGATGTTCAGGTGTATATCAGTTGTAGTGTCTCTACTTTAAAGAGTCCTCTCCTGCTGATGTTCAGGTGTATATCAGTATGTAGTGTCTCTACTTTAAAGAGTCCTCTCCTGCTGATGTTCAGGTGTATATCAGTATGTAGTGTCTCTACTTTAAGAGTCCTCTCCTGCTGATGTTCAGGTGTATATCAGTATGTAGTGTCTCTACTTTAAAGAGTCCTCTCCTGCTTGATGTTCAGGTGTATGTCAGTATGTAGTGTCTCTACTTTAAAGAGTCCTCTCTCCTGCTGATGTTCAGGTGTATATCAGTATGTAGTGTCTCTACTTTAAAGAGTCCTCTCCTGCTGATGTTCAGGTGTATATCAGTATGTAGTGTCTCTACTTTAAAGAGTCCTCTCCTGCTGATGTTCAGGTGTATATCAGTATGTAGTGTCTCTACTTTAAAGAGTCCTCTCCTGCTGATGTTCAGGTGTATATCAGTAATGTAGTGTCTCTACTGTAAAGAGTCCTCTCCTGCTGATGTTCAGGTGTATATCAGTATGTAGTGTCTCTACTTTAAAGAGTCCTCTCCTGCTGATGTTCAGGTGTATATCAGTATGTAGTGTCTCTACTTTAAAGAGTCCTCTCCTGCTGATGTTCAGGTGTATATCAGTATGTAGTGTCTCTACTTTAAAGAGTCCTCTCCTGCTGATGTTCAGGTGTATATCAGTATGTAGTGTCTCTACTTTAAAGAGTCCTCTCCTGCTGATGTTCAGGTGTATATCAGTATGTAGTGTCTCTACTTTAAAAGAGTCCTCTCCTGCTGATGTTCAGGTGTATATCAGTATGTAGTGTCTCTACTTTAAAGAGTCCTCTCCTGCTGATGTTCAGGTGTATATCAGTATGTAGTGTCTCTACTTTAAAGAGTCCTCTCCTGCTGATGTTCAGGTGTATATCAGTATGTAGTGTCTCTACTTTAAAGAGTCCTCTCCTGCTGATGTTCAGGTGTATATCAGTATGTAGTGTCTCTACTTTAAAGAGTCCTCTCCTGCTGATGTTCCAGGTGTATATCAGTATGTAGTGTCTCTACTTTAAAGAGTCCTCTCCTGCTGATGTTCAGGTGTATATCAGTATGTAGTGTCTCTACTTTAAAGAGTCCTCTCCTGCTGATGTTCAGGTGTATATCAGTATGTAGTGTCTCTACTTTAAAGAGTCCTCTCCTGCTGATGTTCAGGTGTATATCAGTATGTAGTGTCTCTACTTTAAAGAGTCCTCTCCTGCTGATATTCAGGTGTATATCAGAATGTAGTGTCTCTACTTTAAAGAGTCCTCTCCTGCTGATGTTCAGGTGTATATCAGTATGTAGTGTTCTACTTTAAAGAGTCCTCTCTGCTGATGTTCAGGTGTATATCAGTATGTAGTGTCTCTACTTTAAAGAGTCCTCTCCTGCTGATGTCCAGGGGTATCATCAGTTGTAGTGTCTCTACTTTAAAGAGTCCTATCCTGCTGATGTTCAGGTGTATATCAGTATGTAGTGTCTCTACTTTAAAGAGTCCTCTCCTGCTGATGTTCAGGTGTGTATCAGTATGTAGTGTCTCTACTTTAAAGAGTCCTCTCCTGCTGAGGTTCAGGTGTAATATCAGTATGGAGTGTCTCTACTTAAAGAGTCCTCTCCTGCAGATGTTCAGGTTGTATCATCAGTATGTAGTGTCTCTACTTTAAAGAGTCCTCTCCTGCTGATGTTCAGGTGTATATCAGTATGTAGTGTCTCTACTTTAAAGAGTCCTCTCCTGCTGATGTTCAGGTGTATATCAGTATGTAGTGTCTCTACTTTAAAGAGTCCTCTCCTTGCTGATGTTCAGGGTGTATATCAGTATGTTAGTGTCTCTACTTTAAAGAGTCCTCTCCTGCTGATGTTCAGGTGTATATCAGTATGTAGTGTCTCTACTTTAAAGAGTCCTCTCCTGCTGATGTTCAGGTGTATATCAGTATGTAGTGTCTCTACTTTAAAGAGTCCTCTCCTGCTGCATGTTCAGGTGTATATCAGTATGTAGTGTCTCTACTTTAAAGAGTCCTCTCCTGCTGATGTTCAGGTGTATATCAGTATGTAGTGTCTCTACTTTAAAGAGTCCTCTCCTGCTGATGTTCAGGTGTATATCAGTATGTAGTGTCTCTACTTTAAAGAGTCCTCTCTCTGCTGATGTTCAGGTGTATATCAGTATGTAGTGTCTCTACTTTAAAGAGTCCTCTCCTGCTGATGTTCAGGTGTATATCAGAATGTAGTGTCTCTACTTTAAAGAGTCCTCTCCTGCTGATGTTCAGGTGTATATCAGTATGTAGTGTCTCTACTTTAAAGAGTCCTCTCCTGCTGATGTTCAGGTGTATATCAGTATGTAGTGTCTCTACTTTAAAGAGTCCTCTCCTGCTGATGTTCAGGTGTATATCAGTATGTAGTGTCTCTACTTTAAAGAGTCCTCTTCTGCTGATGTTCAGGTGTATATCAGTATGTAGTGTCTCTACTTTAAAGAGTCCTCTCCTGCTGATGTTCAGGTGTATATCAGTATGTAGTGTCTCTACATGTCTCCATGCTTTAATGTTCAAAAAGCTCTTTATTTTTCTCATACTGCCTATGCTGCAGCACCTCTTTTCACCCTCTGTCTGCTCTGATTGATTAGCTGGCCTCAGAGATGTCCCGCCCCCTTAGCCTATCACGTGCAATATGTTGGAGCGCTAGCCAATAGAAGCGTGAGTGTTACAGAGTGATGTAGGAAATGCCTAAAAGCATAAAAAGGCCACTTTAAGGACTTTAAACACAAAAAATTCCAAAACACACACTCAGTATCTGACTCCAAGATACCAAATAACCATTTTTAAATTAGTTGTGGCTTCTAGGGTCAAACTGCAAAACATATTTTAAATGCCGTCCATAAAAAGTCTCCCATCCTCTCAGAAATGTCAGAACCTGCTGCGGCTCCCTTTTACTTGCTACATTAGTTTGTGCATGTGGTTTATTTGGTCATAGGTATGCGGATGAATGCTGGAAATAACAAGGATGTTGTTAGCTTACAGAAAAAAGCAATCTAGCCTGTCCAAATTAAATTATTTTCCATAGAGATGCTTTTATAATTCCTTAAGGTTGGCAAGTATGGCTTTTCAATTTTGTTTTCCACTTGCTTTTGTGTAACTATGTCAAAATATGTCCTTGAGGGTTAAGAAAGTGTAAAAAGAAAGTGTGTTTAGACTTTGAATGGTTAAGCTCACTATTTCTCTTTTCACTCAGACGGCCTTCAAGGCGGTGAAGTACTCGCTCTCTGCAGATCTGATGTACGCGCTCTTCGCTTACGATGTCAAACAGGTGGGATACAAAAGAAAAAGCACTGTTTTTAAATTAAAATCTTTAAATGAAGCATCACAAAAGCCTTGTTTTGTTTGTCCTCACTAGCTGTCAACATCACCAGCCGTCCTTTGTGCCTTTCGTTTCATTCCTGCCAGGATGTTATTTACATTTTTTATGTGCAAATGCTCTCCGTTATTTGCATGCAGAAACAAACCCACACCTGTTCCGTCTTTGTGTCTTCAAGTGTGTGATGTGCTGGTTCATAATTATGCTCATGTGTTCTTTGAAGAGCACTTTGATGTTCTGTTTTCTTAAAAAAAATTGTTGAATTGCCTTGAATTGAAAAGATTGGCTTTTTTGGATAGTTGAAAGTTGGAGGCCACATCCACTGCTGGTGAATTATTCACACATACACAAAACAATTCTGCACGATACAGGTGTGGATCTATTTGTTGTTTGGTTCTTTTATCCTTTGTGTGCTTTTGTTCATTTCCCCTTTTTCTAACAGCTCTTCATGGTCAAAACCTCTCATCCAGACAGAAGCATTGTGTTAAATAGAGCACATCTCTCCTGCAGTATATTACATAAAATGGATGCATTTTATATATACAAAAACACCTCTTCTGTACATTATTACCAACATTTATTCTACATTTTGTGGATATTTTGGCCCCAATAGTTCATTTAATATCAGTGCAGATCACATATGTCTGAATATGTGAGATATGTATATTATAGGTGGGGTATGTAATTTTGGAGAAACCAGCTCGAGTGCGCTAAATTTGAAAGTACGCAGCCGAAACAAATCTGCCCCTTCCTTCAGACTTCCTTACAGAGCCCCTCCTCCAACGCACACGAACGCGCACATGACCAATGAGGGCACGAGATAAGTGTGTGCACAGATGGAAGGCTGACAGGCAGGTAGGCCATCCAGTTATTTTAGCCGGGCCGGCTCAGATGATTGGTCGTGCTTTTTACAGCGCCACGGCTTCCACAGATGAAATATTTTAATGTATTTATTGTCAAAGCATTTAATGTATTCATTGCTATCGGGGTGTTAAGAGCATTCCATGGGATATAACAAAGTGTTTCTGAAGTGAATGACCCCACCTTTAAGACATGTTTCTATTTGATGTATAGGACTCAAACATGCTGTCTGGGAAGAGCTGGAGAAAGCTGATGCATAATATATATGAAACGTACTGTCAGAAAAAGTGGATCTATAGTCAATATATCAAGACCTCTTTTTCTTAACTTAATGGAAGTGTAACTGACATTTCTGAAGCAAAAATGGCTTTATTTGAGAAACCTGAAACGGCTTGAAAAAGGATGTATGAGTTATACCTTTTTACTCTAAAAATGACTGACAACGTTTTGTAGTGTAGCTCCATAAATGATGTTTTTGATGAGTTTTTGTCTAGTTATTTTCCTGCTTTTGTCAGTTTGGAGCTGCTCCAGTTCCCTTGTTTCCTAAAATGGATGTTGTGGAGGAAAGTCTTAAGAGAAACTGATAAATGATTGATGGACAGAGTTCGTCTTTTGTTATATTTATATAATAATATCCCCCTTTTACACTTCCTGTTGCCCTCCTGAAATGTAAATCCTTAACACATGTCTCTGTTAAACACACACAAGACTAAAAATACAATTTAACAGAGTAAAAGGAAATCAGAGTATAAGACTATATGTTTTAAATGATTATATGATCATTTGGCACGACAGATGTCTTGCCTTACTCCTATGTTGTGTTGACTTAACACATGACTGGAGTTGAACTCTCGTTTTCAGACATACAGATATTCCTACACGGCGTCTTACATCGTGTACAACATCTACACCAGGTGAGCAAATGGTTCTCTTTATTTCCATGCATGCACACAGTGGCATTCATAACACCTATTATGGTTTTGTAACCCTGTTTTTAATCGTTGTGTCTCACAGGGAGGTGTGGGAGCTGAATCCTCCGGAGGTGCACAACGCGGTGCTCCAACACGCATCCTGGGGAAAGCAAGGACGGCAGCTGGTAAGCTTTAAGTGATCGATTCTTTCTATTGCTTTCCATGTTTTCCTCTCCTTGCTGTGTTCTTTAATCTGAAACCATCCTGACTCTGGAGGGATTTGGTCTCTGTTTACAACCTCACTGTTTTTCCGTCTGCTCTCATCTGACGTAGTTCCAGCTGTGACCGTTTTTACATAACTCTCACACGCGAGTGGGCCGCAGACTTATTAGCTACGTAGAGACAGATGTTCTTGCATATTAACTCAGAGATGTTCCTGGAATAACACAATCAATTTATTCCATTATTGTTTATTAATAGCATTACTCCCTTTGACAAGCAGTTAGTGTGCAGCAGGTCAAATAAAACACACATGTTGGCATTAGATTTGTTGTTAATACTTATAATAAATTAATACAAATAAGAATTGTTGCATTCAATTGATCTTTCAAATAGAGCATTGGAGTTTTTCTGCTTAATATCCAGTTGTCTCGAACGTTGATTGACTGTTATCTTTTCTATTCATTCTTGTTTGAGTCTCAGTTCCTATGAATTTTCTTATTGTCTTTTTATAATTTGCTTGTTTATTTACGGTCATCGAGCATTTGAATACATTTTATTTGAGCTGCGCTTAAATTATTGTTCCCAATGTTTTGATAATGACAATCAGACTTCACTTTCACTATTATGCTTTTTAAGACAATTCATTATAATGTTATGGTTGTGCTGGTATTGATATGTTGTGTGTTTGATGGGAAATGGTTACATCTGGCATAAATCATCCCTATTTTTGAGAGTGCTTTCAATACATTGATATTGTTACATAAAGAAGAAGAATAATGATCATTAAAACTAACTTTTCCCAACTCCACATGTTTGCCGTGTGACTGATGGGTATTCAGAACAGAGCTGTGGAAAACAAATAACTAACAAAACAAGGAGAGATTAATTCAGGTGATCCTGCAGGGTGTGCCGGGCTGATCCTGTTTGTATTTGCAAATATGAAAACACCGATGGGAGAGAACGAGCAAACATACACGTGGAGATAAAGCAAGAAAAACAAATGTCATCAGAGAGGGAAAAGAGACAACAGAAAGTACCTGCCCTGAGTAATAGAATCAGCTTCATCATGCGTGACTGTTCAACAAAGACCTTCTTTATCTGTGCAGATCTTCATCTTTGAGAACAACATCTACTACCAGTCTGATGTGAGGAGTACCTCTCTGAGGATCACCTCCTCTGGGCAGGAGGGGGTGGTCTACAACGGGCTGGCCGACTGGCTCTACGAAGGTGTGTGTGTGTGTGTGTGTGTGTGTGTGTGTGTGTGTGTGTGTGTGTGTGTGTGGCCATCCTTGTGGGGACATACATCTGTTTACAAAGTCACGTGTGGGGACTCGCCTCCCTTATGGGGACATAATGGAGGTCCCCATAAGGGGAATCATTCATTTTAGGGTGAAGACTTGGGTAGGGTTAGGCATGTGTTGGTTATGGTTAAGGTTAGGATAAGTCTCCAGGAAATGCATGTAAGTCAATGTAATGTCCCCTGAAGTGATGTATACATGGTATGTGTGTGTGTGTGTGTGTGTGTGTGTGTGGTGTGGTGTGTGTGTGTGTGTGGGTGTGTGTGTGTGTGTGTGTGTGTGGCCATCCTTGTGGGGACATACATCTGTTTACAAAGTCACGTGTGGGGACTCGCCTCCCTTATGGGGACATAATGGAGGTCCCCATAAGGGGAATCATTCATTTTAGGGTGAAGACTTGGGTAGGGTTAGGCATGTGTTGGTTATGGTTAAGGTTAGGATAAGTCTCCAGGAAATGCATGTAAGTCAATGTAATGTCCCCTGAAGTGATGTATACATGGTATGTGTGTGTGTGTGTGTGTGTGTGTGTGTGTGTGTGTGTGTGTGTGTGTGTGTGTGTGTGTGTGTGTGTGTGTGTGGTGTGTGTGTGTGTGTGTGTGTGTGTGGGTGTGGGTGTGGGTGTGGGTGTGGGTGTGGGTGTGTGTGTGGGTGTGTGTGTGTGTGTGTGTGTTTTTAGGGAGTGTTTGGTAGTTTCACGAGATCATGCTTTGAGACAGACTCGATATGTAAAAAATGTAACAATCGAAGGCATAATGTGGCATTTTGGATGTTCCACCAGTTATATTCCTAAATAAATAAATGTTTGATTTACTGCTAATGTTAAAGCAACATTCAGTTTAACTGTGAAATACTGGCTGGCTGTTATTGTCACAGCAAACGTCTCAGTGTTATCGATAACAATGTAGCTGTCAGTGATTCAAATGAATTCATCTAAAAAATTGTACTCAAAATGTACTGATTTATTTCATGTCATGCTCCTTTGTTCGTACCATAGACTGTGTATGTATAAAGGTTTGTACTTCCCCACATGTTATTGTGCTTGGTAACATTTCAATACATTTGTTTGACGATTAGAATTATTTTTTACATACAAAACAATTATAGTATAGTATATGTTAAACCTTATAACATTTTAATATACTTATACTACTAGTAAAATATCCTGTAGTATGCAAGGTATTTAAAACTGGCTCCACGATGATGAACCATGACATTCAAACATTCTTGCCGTATTTCTTTGTGATAAGAAAAATGAGATTACAATATTATTCTATAAAAAGATAGCAATATAAGAAACCATTCTGCAAGCTTTACCTTTTGATAATTTGCCAATAATACACCTGTGACTTTTACTACTTTTACTACTTTTACATGTATGTTTTATGATATGTAATCTAATTCTGGTGTCTTCTGGCTCCAGCTTGGATGTTTGTTTTGTGACTTAGCGGTTGAGGATGAGTTTTCTTTGCCTCCTCACTTCAGCTGTTTGAAATGTTTCAAAGATTTGTTTTTGCTTTAAAATGAATCCATGAGAGCAAACTAGACAAACTCTGCAGAATGGCAATGAAAATCAACAACAAGCCTCGACGATCCTTTAAGCCGCAGTGCACACACATTCAGTAGTGAGGGGAGGGTCTGTATACACACACAGAGGGGGGACATTATAGTTTCTGTTTGGAGCTGATCTGAGAGCTGTGTTTCCTCATTTTTAATTACTTTAGAGTGTAAACACGGCTGACGATTGGACAGTGAAGGAAAGAGTCATATTTATTCCCCCCCCATATTATTGTTGTTACAATGTGCCCATTTTTACATTAATACATTTGTTATTGCACTGCTTTCTTGTGTTTATATACATATTATTATTTTATTTTTTATTGCAACGTTGACCTTATTTTTACCACTTATTTTTAGATAATATATATAATATTTTTTATTTTATTATTATTGCTCACTTTAACATATATTTATATATAAGTATTCATTAGATTTGAATCCAAAATGGACCAACTGTCATATAAAGTCAAGTAGTTATTAGGCAAGGCAAGGCAAGTTTATTTATATAGCACTTTTCAACACAAGGCTATTCAAAGTGCTTTAGTATTATTTCTTCTGAAACAGAACTACAGGTGCAGAAAAACAGCACCATTTAAATAATTTTAAAAATCATATTTTGTCTTTAGCACCTCTGGGCAATATTGAGTCAGAAAGGGAAGTAAAAAGGACACATTTTGAGAATAAATGTTGATAATTGTGTGTTTTTCTCCTCAGAGGAGATCCTACACTCTCACCTGGCCCACTGGTGGTCTCCTGATGGGGAGAGACTCGCTTTCCTCTCCATCAACGACACGCTGGTTCCCAACATGGTTCTGCCTCAGTTTACCGGCAGCACCTACCCTAAAGGACTACAATATCCATATCCTATGGTGAGCATGCATTGTGGGTAATAAAGTCAGTTCAACATATCATTAAATCACTTTTTTTACAACATATCTCTGTTCAACACCTGCAGGCGGGACAGAAAAACCCAGAGGTCAAACTGTTGGTGGTCAACTTGTACGGAGCGACACACACTCAAGAACTGCAGCCTCCTGATCAGCTCAAACTCAGGTACCTCACACACACACACACTCACACACACACACACACACACACACACACACACACACACACACACACACACACACACACACACACACACACAGCTGGGCACAAAGTCTGACTCCTCTCTTGGCCCCTCAGCAGTGATTTCTACGTCACCATGGTGAAGTGGATCAGTAATACTCACCTGGCAGTTCGGTGGGTCAACCGCTCCCAGAATGCATCACTGCTCACGGTATGCGACGCCACCATCGGAGTCTGCGTCCAGGTGGGTGATGTATTTCAGAGGATGGGGTCAAAGATGATGACAGATGACCTGTAATAATACAAATAAAGTACTTTTACCAGATTTAAATTCTGAGGTACAGTACTTGTAGTTTAGCATTAGGCTACTTTCGACGACTGCTACTCTACATTTACAAGGTAAACATTGTATTTTAACTGTAAAATGTAATTGTAAAACTATAATGATATGTATTGTAATATCAGTCCTTGTTATAGTGTAAATTAAATCACTCAATCAAATGGCTAGAACACTGTATATGAATGCATTAGTAGTAATTATCCATGCGACAATATATAACAATATATCTCTTACTGAGCAAGAAAGGGTAAGATATTTTACAGAAAAGTGTTGCTACTTTTAAAGTAAAGCTGAATGTTACTCAAACATTGAGCTATTGCATAAGAGACCATATTTCCCTCTGATAATGATTGTCTTTTATAAATCAGATTAATTGCATTCCTTCAAGAACAAAGAATTTAGTTTGAATCCGTTTTACAGCGCTCAAGATCACGTCTTTATTTCATATAATCATTTTTGAAGCTGTCTTTCCTTTGTCTTCTGTTTAATTCAGAGACACGAGGACTCTTCAGGGACATGGCTGTCCTTTCAGGTAAGCCTCAATACTGACATGTCTCATAACAACAGTAATGTACAGACTTGATATCCTCTCTGCAATATAAAGGTCCATTATTAAGGGGGGGGAGGGTACTGTTTAAAGTGTGTCACCTCTGTGTGCAGGGACAGGAGCCGCTGTTCTCCAAGGACAGGAGCCGCTTCTTCCTCTCTCTGCCTGTAAAACAAGGAGGGCAGGGAGACTTCAACCACATCACCATGTTCACTAAGAAGGTGACAACTAAACGGACTTCAATCCACCGAAAGATGTCTGTTCCTTTCTCCTGTTTCCTAACCCTTTCAACCATTTCTGATTCCAGCTACGAAGTGACAAGGACGAAGTTCGGCACCTAACGTCAGGAGACTGGGAGGTGACCAAAATCGTAGCTTACGACGAAAACAACCAGATAATGTAAGACTGGCTACGAGCATTTAGTTTCAAAAACATTTGCGTCAAATGTGTGTGTATGTTGCTCTATAGGCTGTAAATGAGTTATATTCTAATATCATTATTTAAAAAAAGGCTTTTTCAACAGTTACCCCGGTAAGAAATGTACCAGCTGAGTCTTTTATGCGGCATCTGTGCGCTTTCCCCAAATATACTACAAATTCAGCTTTTTGGTTGATTAACACGTGTATTGCATAACAAGCTTTTTGCATAACTGTATCTGCTGTACGCACAGTGACTATTGATGCAGATCTCTAGCCTTGTCCTGCTTTCACTCTGCAGATACTTCCTGAGCACGGAGCCCTCTGCACAACAAAGACATTTGTACAGGTATCAAACCCTCAATACATCCACCATATTGTGTGTTCTTAAGATCCTTCAATGCACCTTATTGTGTCTTAAAGCGTGTCCACCCTCGGCCTGTTCCCTCGCCGCTGCGTCACCTGTGGACTGAAGGACGAGTGTTCCTTTTTTGACGCTGAGGTCAGCCCCGATGCACAGCACGCCATCCTGCACTGCAAAGGTCAAAAAGAAAATCAGATTCCTTACGTTTTTATAACCTCTGCACCAGAAAACTATAAAATGGTGACTTCTTTATTGTAAAAGCCCTCGCCATACTTGAATTCAGAATCAGAAAAACTATTTAGAATAGAAGAATATGGAGGGATGAAACCCTCTGTAATGGTCTCACATGCAGAGCACACAGTGACATGTGTTCTCTGCTTTTAACCCATCCTAGCACCAGGAGTCTAGTACCAGGAGCAGTGGGCAGCTATTGTACAGCGCCCCGGGAGCAATGGGAGTGGGGGGGGGAAAGGGGGTTGTCCGGTGCCTTGCTCAAGGGCACCCCGGCAGGGCAGGAGGTGAACTGGGACCTCTCCAAGTAGAAGTCCACACTCCATATGTTAGATCTGCTCAGCGACTATTTATCCTGTAGATGCAGTTTTTTGTTCCATTCCAAAATGAAATAAAATCAAATGAGATATTTAGATGAACATAAGAAGTAGGACTACGCATTACAAATATCAAATAATATAAACATACAATTTCTATTTAAAAAAGTCTAATAAAAGATACATTTACGATCCAAGTTAATGTGATTGATGTTTCCTTTTATAGACACATAATACTTCCTGAATATTAATGTTCTTGAAGAATATTATTTTGATATTTTAATAAAGGAAAATGTTCTGAAAGAAATCCCTCAGTATGAAGTGTGCCCTTTTTGCTCCATTTCATCTTGCTACTTTACATAATGGCATAATTATGGGCGTACAATGTGAGAAAAGCCCCACATAAGTCGGAAATGTACCTCGAAATGCATCAAAATAGCCTAAAGAAGGTACCGATTTATCAGCGTTTCATGCATTAACACATCCAAACCTAATGTTTTATTCCATCCCCCTGCAGGACCTGGAGTTCCAGCTGTTCTGCTCCTGAGTTTCATCGATGTGAACTGTGAGTCTTCTTCACTCCCCTTCATACGAAACCATTTTGTGTTGATGTGATGGAAATGCTAAATAGTCCGCAGCGATAAAACATCAGCAGCTGTTGGATCCAAACTGCACCACTTTATTCACCACTATTCATTTCTTGCATACTCTTTGATTTCAAGAGATAACACTCACCATTTAAATGAGACATAAACCCTCTGAATTGATTGTGAGATTATAAATGCATACATTTGCACAAGACTTCATGATTTGGGAAGCAATTATTAAGTACATTTGTAAATGTAGGAGTTTAACACTACTTGCCTTAAGCCTGAAAAGCTGATAAATAAATGTTTTAGAAAAAACTGATATGCTGATGAAGGGCATAGTGAATACATTAAATAATAGCAATTACTGACCAATATTCAGGTTTTTTATGCAAGTATATTAGGTTGAAAAATGACAAGAAATGCAAAGAATATCTGTTGCCAGGTGTAAAGAAAAGTGCTGATCCATACCCTAAATAAATGCTTGACTGCAAGGTGAAGCAGCCACCTCATATATATATTGATAACTGTTCTGTTTTTACATGTAGAATAGAAAACTTGTTATGAAATCAAAATGGAGCCTTGCCCTTTGCTGCAGCCTCTGGATGAAGTGCTGAATATTTAATGTGAACTTCTGACTTCTATGCCCGGAGGAATCATGCATAGGCTTGTTTGATATTAAGAAATATATACGGTTTCTTTTTTTGTAATTCACAGCCTATTTCATCTTGGAGAACAACCTCCCTCTGCGCTCCGCTCTGGAGACCAAGAAGAGGATTCGGAATGAAACACACACGATAACTAATGACAACTTTGGTACAAATGGTGACCGCACTAATTCATTATATGAATGTTTTTCCCTTCCTGTCGTCCTCTGCTTCACCTCTCCTCGAGTTAATGTTTGTTTCGTCCTCAGCGCTGCCTCTGAAGCTCATCTATCCTCCCGACTTCTCAGAATCCTTCCTCTACGGCCTTCTGCTCATTGTGTAAGCCCATTCCACTTTATTACATTTACATTTTTACACCATCCACTTCACCGGGGGAGCTTCAAAGGACGGCTGAAAGGGAAACTCTTCCCTCCACCTGCAGACTTAAAGTACATTAACAAATCAACAGCAGTTATAATTGAAAACTAAATGCATTCCAGATGAGAACAATTCATCCTATAATCTTTTTTTGATTCTTTAATAAAAATCAGTCTAGTAATACAACAAGGTAAATACTCTACAATCAATATCCTACTTTAGTACCCGAGTATTATTGACTAAATGCACTTAGCTTATCTTAGTGTTGGGGAAGGTAACATTAATTAATGCAACATAACATTTTCTAACAAATGTTTTAAACTGAGCAGTTGGCGTATGGAATGTTCCGTCAGGTTTGTTTCAAGCACTCGTTTCCCACGTACCATTATAGAAATAATAATACTGAAAATCAAATGAAAGTATGGACAAAAAACGACCAATTGATGCATGAAAAATACGGCCAATGGCGCAAAAAACTTTTATTTTCAATTGTTTGTACATGTTTAATATACACTTTAAATGTCATACAAGTAACAATGACTTTTCATACTTCCATCGTTATAATTAAATATTTTAATACATTTTCTGTATTTGTGAACCAATTGCTAAAGGGCAGAGGATTTTCTTGGATGAAGCGGTGGCTAATTTAATTATGAAACACTTGTTTCTTTATGTTATATAATTGTCACACACACACACACTAGGTCAACTATCTGCAATAGTCTTTTATAACCCCAAAGGCTCTCAATAAAGAAAAAGTGTGTAATAGTACATCTCAACACAACATGCTATCTGTGTGAATCCTCACGTTAAAGTAAATAAATGACGGTTGTCTCCGTGTGTCTCCTCTCAGCGGCAGCTCTCCGGGGGGGCAGGGGGTGACGGATGAGTTCAGGCTGGACTGGTACCTGGGGCTGGTGGGGTCAGAGCAGGTCATTGTAGCACGACTGGACGGCAGGGGGTCAGGGTTCAGAGGTCAAAGGTAACTAAATGTCCAACATGGTTGTGGGAGTGAGTAGTTTCTCTTTCTTCACCTTTATCTCTGTCTCTTCCCAGGGTTTTGCAGCAGGTCCACCAGAGGCTCGGCACGGTGGACAAAGACGACCAGATAGCCGCTCTGCAGTATGTATTTTGGATAAAAATAATCATTTTAAATGGTAGTGAGAGTTTTTCTTTGAGCCTGAATGCTCCAATAATGCTCTTCAGGATTTCAGAGACACCTTTTTTCAAATCTCAGACGTCTTTGACAGCGGTCTGTGAGCAAGTAATGAAAGTATGGACAAAATAGGAGACTTGAAAACGTAGAAAGAAAGGCATCATTGTTGGATAATTGAACGTTTGCCAATTTCCCTTTAAAGTATTGCTAAGTATCTTATTTTTCCCAGAGCGAACAAAAGACATATTTGATGCTATGCACAATGTCTTTCATTTGACAAGAAATTGCATCAATTTTGATATTTGTTCACTCGTTACAGGAAGATTGTTTTTTAGCAAAATGGCTTCTTAAATGTGACTTTGCTTTCATGTCTTCAATGACAGAAAACGGTCCGTTCTTTTGCCAGACGAAACTACTTTTGAATAAGAAAACAAGGTGTCTCATTATGATATCGTACTTTTTGAAGAGGAGCCGCATTTAAGTTCGAAATGCACGTAAAATATGGTGTTTTTAAGTTATAAAAACACAAGTTGGGGCTTTTTTCCTAATTTATTTTTCTCCCTCTCACATGTGGATCTGACCTTTGACCTCCTTGCTGTTAATAATAATAATAATACATTTGTTTTATATAGGCGTCTTTCAAGGCTCTCAAGGTCGCCGTACAAACACATACAAAACAAGATACACTGTTACCCACTTGATGTTCTGTGAATTGAAGCGGTCGTCTGAGTGTTGTTGGAAATGTTTCCTCTGTGTGCCTCAGGTACCTGGTGAAGCTGCCGTTCATTGATCCCACTCGAGTGGGAGTCTTCGGAGAGGTTTGTCCGTGTTATCAATCCAAACATTCACCCTCAAGGATAAATAAATAAAGCGCGACGGATCAGGGCCTTTGTAGGGCAAAGAAAATAAGGATGGAGCTGAGGGACAAGGGGTAACAAACTAAGGGGAAACTGAGATTAAAGTACATTTACGAGAAGAAAGTCACAAATGTACCAAAACAACATTAGGAATATTCTGAGATAATAAAGTCATACATTTGCGCATGCACCAAGTCTTTTATGACGTCATTGTCTTTCTTTGTTTTACTTAGTAAGCACCCCACTGTATTTCTTTTTTTACTTAAAGTCATAAAGTTAAATATATATTGTTAGGAAGGACTGATTTTCTCTCAACTCTTTTTGCTTAATATAGAGAAATATTTTAAACATATACTTAAACAATGTACTGATTTGCAGAGGCCTGAATAGTGAAGTAAAGCCGAGAGAAAATTCTTGAAAAGTGTAAAAATATCTGAGCATACTTGTTTATATATTCAAGCATCTAATAGAGAATATCTTTATGTATCTTGACCATCCTTTACCACCAGGATTACGGGGGCTACCTGGCGCTGATGGTGCTGAAGTCCACAGAGAACCTGATCCAGTGTGCAGCAGTTCAAGCGCCCATCACTGACTGGTCCTTGTACGGTGAGCAAAAAAAAACTCAAATGAAATCCGGTATCTTCTCTTCTTTAATTCACACAGCAGGGACATGGAAATATGTATTACTTCTGCTGCTGCTGCGTCGCTGAGGTCTTTATCCCGCCGTCTGTAATGTGGCTTTAATTATCCGTACGCGCCGCTTTCGGGAATTCAGGCTTATTGAATTTTTAAGGATGAAAAGCTTTCCTGGTAGAGGCGAGTGAGTATAAAGCCGTTTTCATTTTGAAAACACACATTTGAAACTCATGTAACGTGTACAAAAACTCCTTTAAAGGCAGGCTCAGACAGAAGAATCATTGTTATGAGTTGTGAAGCTCTGAGAAGATAAACTCCAGCTTTGTTTTTATTGAATAATTCTCCACATCTTTATTAAAACAACCTCCTTTCTTTTCCAGCTTCGACGGTTTCCGAGAGATACCTTGGCTCACCTTGGACTGAGGAGAACAAATACCAAGTGAGTATCAGCGTTAGCGTTAAACCTTCTAAATATTTTATACACGTAAATAACAATTTCAAAACATGACAATATATTGGAAAAGCATGCTGTTTTTCAACGCTTTTAGTCACTTTTACTGGGAAATGTAATCTATTTATCACATTATGCAATGTCTAAGCTAATGATAGGTCGATTCATTTTGCATTTTGACGATCACTTTTACTCCCACCACCACGCAATGTCAAGCATCCTGTTTTTCATTACAAATAAGCAACGAGTCATTATTTTGCGGAGTAAAAATAGGATTTCTTCATATTACTTAATCATCGAGAGACCACTAAAGTGTATCTTGCAACTTTTATAGGGTACCCGACGTAGGAGCACATTAGAAAAAACCTGCTTTGTTGTTTTTTGCAACGTATTTATTCGAACATCAATTGTTCATCCAGCCGTCACTAAAAGGCTGCTGGTGTGCAGCGTCAACATTATAATAGACAAGCACTTAAATATCTTTCAGAAGCAAAATGACTTTTCCTCTGTGTGAAGGTTGTAGACAAAGTGTTTCTCCTCCAAAGTGGGTTGCCTTTAACTGGGCCGGCTATTTCTGTGACTCGCAGCGCTGGGGGGGGGGGGGGGGGGGGGAGGGGGGGTCTGCTTTTAAAATGACATCCAAAGAACAAGAAATGTGGCGCGAGGTGATCACACAATAATCAGCGGGACACCATCGCCAGTCCTCAGAGAGACAGACGGGTTATTAAATGTCCGGTTTTTGATGCGAGTCTGGAACATTTCCCTCCCCCTGTTTGAATCCCAGCTGGGGAGGGAAGGTGAAAGATCAGGTTGTGATATATTTTAATATAGCAGGCACCAGCCCAATACTAAAGCTTCCATGGTGGCTCGACTCCCGGGGAAGACTTGGCTGACGCACTTTACTGTGTTTAAAGATACCGGTCGTGTGGTGTGGTAATGATGAATCGGTAGGTTATGTGGAATAGTTCATTCCATTCATTGACCAGGTTTTGTGCATCGTCAAAGTGAAGTCCATACCATAACGAACATTACATCGGTAAAAAACGATGTGATTGACATGTCTGCCTCCACAAGATCATCAGCTGAGACTCTCTGAACTCCAGGTACCCCTCTGACCTTACTCTTATCCAACTGTTGATTTGCATGAGTGGTCTTCAGCGTCTTTTCTCCTTTGGCTCAAGTTCTTGAGGATTTGTTTACCTTGAGCGACCAGGTATCTGCAACGTTGAGTCTCCTCCAGTCTGAGAAGTAGAGGATTAGTTGGTCAGTAGGATCAGTCGAGTCCTTGGTAGTCACAGCATTCCTCTTCACTGAAACTGAAGGAAACCCTGCTTCATGCATGGCTCCAAAGTTTCCATTCATTGACCATCCCAGCACAGTCCTGACTGCATACGGGCCATTCCCGCAGCTTTTGAGGACCTCCCATGCTTCCATTAAATTGGGAGCATTTGTTCCTATTAACAGGTCCACATTTGCCTCAATGGTTGGATTGCGTACCTTTGAAAAATGTGGCCATTTAGCCTAACCTTCCTGGGTCACTATGTCATCCATGGTCACTGGCATTTTCTCTTGTGTGAGAGAGGTAGGTTCGTAGTTGTTACTGTGGTGACAACGATACGTTCCTTTGCTCTTTCCCTGGGTTGTGTTATGAATGTAGTGAGAGTCCTTTGTCCTTTCTTTCCACTCCTTGCTCCAAGGCCTTATCAAACGCTCTGTATTTAAAGGATCTCCTTCAAATGTAGGAATCTCTCTTGGCGGCAGAGATGAGAAATGTTGTTGCTGGACCAGAGCATCTAATGTTGCCTGTGACCAGTGTTGGGACTAACGCGTTACAAATAACGCCGTTATTTTTGGCAGTAACTAGTACTCTAACGCATTACTTTTTAAATTCAGTAACTCAGTTACCGTTACTACATGGTGCGTTACTGCGTTAGTTTTTTTATATAGTCAACAGCCAGGCGAACAGAGATGAGAACTGTACTTAGGTACAGTACTTGAGTAAATGTACTTAGATACTTCCTGTGTCACATGCGGAGACGGGCTGTGGGCGTGTTTGTGTTGTTTACTAACAAGACTATCATGGCGGCGGCGGAGCTCAAGTCTAGTTTCTCCACCTGGAGATATTCTCACTATTTCACTTTAGTCGAGCACAAAGAAAAGAAAGTTTCTGTTAAATGTAAGTTGTGTCTTGGCGGGTCAAAGATCCTATCTACTGCCCAAACCAGTAATTCAAATCTCTTAAAACATCTGCAAAAACAACATGCTGGGACGAAGCTAGTAGCTAAGACCGGCACAGACCCAGACTCATCCAACGCCACTCCACCTCCACCTAAGCAACAGCGGCTGGATTTTAACCAAGGGTAAGGGCATTAATGGGAGCCCTTTTTTTAAGTAACTAAAAAGTTACTTTCTACAGTAACGCATTACTTTCTGGTGTAAGTAATCAGTAAAGTAACTGAGTTACTTTTGAAATGAAGTAACTAGTAATGGTAACTAGTTACTGGTTTTCAGTAACTAGCACAACACTGATTGTGACCAATAGTCTGTTGCAATTGTCCATCATTTGACTGAGCTGATGAAGCACTCGTGCCTTGAAACAGTTTGTAATGATTGCATATAGGTTGTTTTGGCCGTACATCCAGATGTTGTAGATTGTGCCGTGGTAATGATGATTGTTCCAAGTGATTTTGTTGTTGAGGTTCCCATGCATGCTTGTACTCTCTTGCCATTGGGTTTAAAGAACTGACAGGTTCCACATTGCTTTTTTCCCTTTCCAAATATGAATTCATGCCACTTGAGGTGGCAGCAGAAACATTGCTCCACTCAAAGGAGTAGCAACATTTGACACACTGTCATTTGGATTTATGTCATCCTCAGCTTCAACATTTGTTGCTTCACATTTTTTTAAGGAAACCCACATTTTTGTTTCAGTGACACACTCAGCATCACGCACCATTTTTGCTTTGAACCATATTTCATGTTTTTCTTTTTCTTCACATGGTAATAAACTCACCAACGATTCATGTAAACATGTTGCTTCATCACACAGCATCAATTTACCAACAGCATTTTGTACCTCTGATTATTTATCACCCTTAAGTAATAAACCTTGCACTGATTTTCGTATGGCGCTTGCATTATTTAGCTTATTTCTTTATTTAATTTTGCAACCTATCTATTTTATCTAGTTGCGCTTTTGTAGTCAGCTTAACAACCCGTTTCTGAGTTTCTTTTTCAACACCACTGGTCACTAGTGGGTTTATTGGCAGCGTGCAAACCTGTCCCATGTGACGCTATTTGCGACAGACGCAGCGTCACACACATCCATGATAATAGTCTGTTCCATCAATATAAAGTCACTTGTATGTGCACTTCTGCTACAAATGCACTTGTTTTTTGCTTAGGTTTTGTGTGCACACTCGTTATATGTCCATTAAACATTGTAGCGCTGCACATACCTATCTATATGACGCGGTGGTCCGCGGCGATGCTCCAATTCCGGTGTTTTTAGCATTAGCACATTAGCTCCTGCGTCGGGTCCAATAGATGACTGCAGACGAACTCCTGTTGGTCACACAGCAGGTGGCTCTCCTCGTCCCCCTGCGGTCTGCAGACGCCCTCCAACGTAGCCATACAATGATCCATTCTATAACAAACATTATTTTCGGCACTCGCGGAACTGCGGTCAAAAACCATTTGCCCTTCCGGGGTCAGACACACCTGATCAGGTGACAAAACAAACCTTACATACCCGTGCCATAGGGAATTGGACAGCGAGACCCTATGAAAAACCTGAACCCAAACATGACACTCCATCAAAATGGCTCTTACATCCAGACTCCAAATGTGAACCCCAAACATACATTTTCATTTCTAGTGCCTAAAAAACTGACCTTTACTAGGCCCATTCTGCACTAAGTGTGTGAAATGTTAGTGGTTTCACGACAGGAAGTACTTTGTTAAAGTGCAAAATGTTGTAGGCCTACTCTACTTCAATATTTCTATCTGAAGCTACTTTGTACTTCTACTCCTTTTTATATTGTAGGTTAAAGAAGACAAAGTACAGTCAGTGGAAGGGGGTACAATTTCGAGATTAAAGTTGTACATTTACAAAAATAAACTACTTCATTATTTACATATGATGCTACTTTATTATTGCACTCTTTTATATTGCAGGTAAAAAGAATAACAAGGATATATCTGAGTCCCCTGTGCATATTACTGCTTTGCAATCAAATATGTTTCCATTTTTAATTACCCGAACTACTTGGTTGCGTTTCACTTCATGTAAAAACATGAGTTTGTATTTTGAGCATCTGTGACGGAAATAAATCAACAAATAAAACAGTTTTTTATATTCAAATGACTTCATGTCTGCACGATAGGTACGAGGATACAGACAGTTGCCACTTAGCTTAGCATAAACACCCAAAACTTAGTAAATACAGAAAGCACGGATGATGATTGTGTCTTCCAGGCTTCTAACGTCCTGACCAACATGAAAAGTCTGCAGGGAGCGACTCTGTTTCTGGCTCATGGCACTGCTGACGGTACGCCTCTATATTTTCTACCTATAATGAAAAAGACATGTTATTGTCAAGGTAACTATGTGTGTTATTAGATGCAGTCTGCTGGCTATGGCCCTGATGATTTTATATCCAGCAGTATATATGACCCCTGTGACCCTCACTTCACACACTTGTTTTTCTCCACAGCAAACGTTCACTTTCAGCACTCTGCGGAGCTCATCAAACACTTAATAAAGATCGGGGCCAACTATACCATGCAGGTAAACTTCAACTGTGGCTGGAGAAGTACATAGAGAGGATGCTTCAAAGACCAACTTAAGGATGTTTAGTCATTAAAGTCTGTTTCAATGCCTTTATGTAGTTATAAAGGTGTGTTCTGAATCCTGAATAAAGCTGGACTCAAAATTCTACAAATTGATCAACATAAAAAAAAATCCCCCCACCATTTAGACAATTTTCTATATTAATTTCCATGCAAAAATTGAAGAAAAATACATTTAAATATATAATATGGACTCTTAAGAAGCTGGGATGGACATTTTTCACTTTTCTATGATATTTTAAAGAGTAAACAAGAAAATAATTGGCAGTTAGTTGCAGTCCTAATCCTCTGTTCCAAAAACGACAACCCCTAAGCATGCTTTTGTTTCATTTTCAATGACCTCGTTTGTTTACTTATTCATCCGTCATCCTTTTTTGTTGTTACCCGGGACAGATTTACCCAGACGAGGGACACTTCCTGTCGAGGCGCAGCCAGATTCAGCTGACTCACGCCCTGATAGGTTACTTCAGAGGCTGTCTGCTCGACGCATCATTACTCAGCCAACTAAAGAGTGATGACTGAGAGGGAACATGGTGTGTGTGTGTGTGTGTGTGTGTGTGTGTGTGTGTGTGTGTGTGTGTGTGTGTGTGTGGTGTGTGTGTGTGTGTGTGTGTGTGTGTGTGTGTGTGTGTGTGTGTGTGTGCATGTTTTTATACTTGTGGCTTGATGGACAAAACACGCTTCTTCTCAACATATCAGATATAGTTTCTGTCGCTCATCACCTCAGTGGAACAAAGCTCCTACAGTCACGTTACTTTTGTTATTTTTGTTTTATTGCACCTTTTTCAAAGTCAACAAACTCTTATGGTGATTTGGAGGACCAGTTGATAAAACAAGTCATTTTTTTTCAATGCCGATGCACTCTCTAAACCCTGAAAAGCTTCTTTTAAAATCTTGGAAAGTTAGAACACATGTGGCTTCAGATCTCAAGTATTTCTGTTAATGAATATTTATGAATAAATACGCAAAAGGCTGGACGAATACATAATTATTAATGTACAGTGTTACACTTTTAAAAACGTGTCAGTATTATCTGAGATTTATATTTTATTGAATTATCATTTCATAACAGCTTTTCTTTGGTTAGCCTGAAATAGGGAGTTTTTTATTGTCCCATAACACAAAATGTTCATTTTCGATTAGCTTAATGATATTGTTGATGAATGTTCTGACGTTTTTAATGTTTACCATACATTTACTTTACAAAGAAATGTCATCTTTTCTGCAAACATCATATTTAATTTTCTATGGTTTTCTATTTTCTACTGCTCCAAATGGGTTTAACGACCTTATGTTGCTTTAAATCCTTGGCTGACTAGATATTATTTTTGTTTTCTATACTTAATCTGAAACTGATGTTCTAATTTATGAATTAAAATCTCTCTGGATGAATTACAACAAGTGCAATTGCTCTCCACTTGTGCATTTCCGACTGCTTATCCTTTACGTATTGCAATAAAAGGCTCCTTAAGTAATACGGCATCACAAAGCCATAACAAGAGAGACACAAATCACAGTGAGGAACGTCCTCCATGCTGTTATAGATTTTAGGTAGAGTTCTAGGCTGCTATATTTGAGTCCAAGTTTTAAAAAACATAACGTGAAGTTGTGGTTATTGTTTCTATTGGGGTTTGTACTGTGAATCTAGATTTGTCTTCCTCGAGGGGAAACACTGTGGGTAAATAGAGAAAAGCTTATTGTACTTTTTGCCTGTTTTAATATTAAAGAACAATGACTGAGCCTTGTGGGTCTTATTTGTGTAGGAGGGGGTGAAAGAAAGGAATGTATATATTAATATATGTTTGTGTTCTGCAGCGGTTGAAGTGCTCAGATCCTTTGTTGCAAGTACAAGTACTGAGTTTAAAATATGAGGGGGACAAAGGGCAGAAATGTCCCAAGAAATCTCAGGATGCAAAAAAACGTAATTAATTTAAAAAATATAAATATAGACAATTTAAATGTTTCCGTTTATACAGATATTTAGATATAAGTTTATTTTATTGGACATTTTACTTTAACTTCATTGGTTGAAGAAATATCTTAAATGTTTTTCCTGCATTATTTACTTGTTTTATTTTCCCCAGGAAGTCATATTTCTGATATATGCTCCACCTTAAGGCATTGATGTTTAACTAAGACATCATGTTTAAATGTTCACCAAATCCCCCTAACCCCCTCTGTCCTGACCCTGCTGCAGTTTTACGTTGATAATCAGCACCTTCAATTTCCTTTTGTCACCAATATGTTATTTTTAAACCCATAATTAGAAGAAAACGTCACAAAAGAGGAAAATGTCTTTCTCTCCGTCTGCCCTTTGACCTTTATAAATCCCCTGTCCACGCTGCCTAGTCTCTGCTCAAATGTAGCCTTAATTACCTCAAAGCAATTACAGAGCTAATCTAAAGGCCTCCTCCTCTGAGGAAGGGGGGGGGAGACAGTCCAGCAGCGGAGACAGACACCGAGTGAGGACCTGAGCCGGCAAATATCTGTCTCCGGAGTGCACAAAAACAATCATTCTCTACTTTAGCAGAAAGAAAGTTTAAAAAAGAGGAATCACAGCGATTCATCAGCAACACACAGGGATTTTATGCGCACTTTTACCAGGAACTATGCAGGAAATCAGCCCGGAACCAAAAGAAAAACTTGGGAGATATTTTTACTCCACTACATTTATTTAATACCTTCAGTTACTTCACAGATGTGGATGAATGATGTGAAATATAACCAAGTGTTAAATCAGACTTTAGTTCCACCTGGAGTAAATCCACCAGCTACCCTGCAGTACACAAAGTCATTCAAACTAGCTGCACCTTTACCAGCTTTGAGAACACTTTCATGATCAATCATTATGAAACATATCATATATATTATTCTGAAATGGACCAATCTGCACAACGACTACTTTTACTTTCTATATTTTGATAATATTTTTACTTCAGTAGCATTTTTAATGCAGGAATTTTACTACACTCTGGTACTTCAACTTTTACTCAAGTACAACATCTGAGTACTTCTCCCACCTCTGCATGCTTTTATCCATACAAAGCACTGTGTGCGTGCGTGTGCCTTGTATAATGACCTTCCTCCTACAGTAACACTATACTGCCATCTTGTGGTAAAGCACCAACAGCTCAGCAAACATTTAAAGTGTATTGAATAATTATATTCTGTAAGAAATACCAGTCCATCATTCAAAACGTTACTTAAGTATTCAGTAAAGTCATTGTTTTATATTCATTTTACTGCTGTGGATGTTTTTGATTTGATTAGGTATTTTGATATGCAGCAAAGCATTAGTTTCTATAAGATCACCATATATTGGTAGCTTTGTCACTGTCCATTTTAAGCCGATACAAGATGCTTTGATTGATAGAAAACTCATCTTAATATGGTTAGGGTTTTAGATTTTGTTTATCAGGGAAGATACTTTGAGAATGTCTTTTTTAAGTATAATAAACAGCAAGTGAGATAGGTTTGTGTAAACAGCTTTATTCATAGAAAAGGAAGTTAAGGCACGTTTTCTCTCTTGTACGAGAGTAATTTCTCAACAACCCAAACTCAGTGTTTTAGACGCAGAGACATTAGAAGTCTTTAAACTGCACATGAACACTGACCGTGCCGCTGGAGGAGAGCTAACCTGCTGAACTGTGACCCTTTCATTAAAACGGCTCTATGCATACAGTAATACTTCTGGTTGTTAATACTCCTCGCCCTCTTCGTCCTCTTCGCACGAGTCGATGCCGACCTCCTCGTAATCCTTCTCCAGGGCGGCCATGTCCTCTCTGGCCTCGGAGAACTCCCCCTCCTCCATCCCCTCCCCCACGTACCAGTGCACGAAGGCCCTCTTGGCGTACATCAGGTCGAACTTGTGGTCCAGGCGTGCCCAGGCCTCGGCGATGGCGGTGGTGTTGCTCAGCATGCACACGGCCCTCTGCACCTTGGCCAGGTCTCCTCCGGGGACCACGGTGGGGGGCTGGTAGTTGATGCCCACCTTGAAACCAGTGGGACACCAGTCCACGAACTGGATGCTGCGCTTGGTTTTGATGGCGGAGATGGCCGAGTTGACGTCTTTGGGCACCACGTCTCCGCGGTATAGCATGCAGCAGGCCATGTACTTCCCGTGGCGGGGGTCGCACTTCACCATCTGGTTGGCGGGCTCGAAGCAGGCGTTGGTGATCTCGGCGACGGTGAGCTGCTCGTGGTACGCCTTCTCCGCAGAGATAACTGGGGCGTAGGTGGCGAGGGGGAAGTGGATACGAGGGTAAGGCACCAGGTTGGTCTGGAACTCCGTCAGATCCACGTTCAAGGCGCCGTCGAAGCGCAGGGAGGCGGTGATGGAGGACACGATCTGGCTGATGAGGCGGTTCAAGTTGGTGTAGGAGGGCCGGGCGATGTCCAGGTTCCTGCGGCAGATGTCGTAGATGGCCTCGTTGTCAACCATGAAGGCGCAGTCGGAGTGCTCCAGGGTGGTGTGGGTGGTCAGGATGGAGTTGTAAGGCTCAACTACGGCGGTGGACACCTGGGGGGGCGGGGTAGATGGCGAACTCCAGCTTGGACTTCTTGCCAAAGTCGACGGAGAGGCGCTCCATCAGCAGGGAGGTGAAGCCGGAGCCAGTTCCTCCCCCGAAGGAGTGGAAGACCAGGAAGCCCTGCAGCCCCGTGCACTGGTCAGACTGGGGAGGAGAGGGGGAAAAGAGACTTAAAGATCTCCTATCATGCTATTTTTAGGCATATATTATGGGTCTCAGATATATACAAATATATTTAAAAAAACATGTCTATGATGTGTTTTGATCAAAATACCAAACAGGTCATGCATTTTAGACATGCCTCATATCCTCTATTTCAGCCCTGTTAGATAAGTGCTGATTCTGGGTCCTTAGCTTGAAAAAAAAAAAATGAAAAAAAGAAGGGGGGGAGCTTGTGCTCAGAATTCTAGCAAGATACTCAGCTAAATGCTGCCGTGATGAAACGCCATATCATGTTCCAAACCACATCAAGGATTATTTCTGAAACAGTATGGAGCTCAAATGCTTTCTCTCTCAGGTTTACCACAAGGTGAGTTCCTTTCTATATCCTGCTTTTTTACACATACTCTCTCCAGTACAGGTTAGCTCTGAGTGTTAGCGATACTTGCTAATGTAAACAAAGACCATATTACGTCCAAAACACGTCGCGCATTGTTTCTGATAGCGAAGTTTCTGATAGGGCCGTGGGCGTAAAGCCAGACCACATTTTCGATATTACGTCATATCGGACGCAAATCTGGATCTACTCCGTTGTGCCCCCATTTTGAGAGATTTGGGTACAGAGGGAAAGAGAGAGGGTTTTGTTTTCTGACACTTTGTGAGTTCCCTGACACACCGGGGACACACATTTATGTATAAAAGACATTAAAAAGTGGATTTTGCATGATAGGTCCCTTTTAAGGTTTTTTAAAGAATATCAAGTACTATACTGCTAGAGTCTCATAAATAAAGACTTTTCTCACCAGTTTGCGGATCCTGTCCAGCACAGAGTCGATGTGCTCCTTCCCGACGGTGTAGTGACCGCGGGCGTAGTTGTTAGCGGCGTCTTCCTTCCCGGAGATCATCTGCTCGGGGTGGAACAGGCCACGGTACGGACCGGTACGCACCTCATCTGAGGGAGAAAGGAACATCATATTAGGGAAATTGATAAAAGGGACAAAAGCAAAGAATAGTCAATGGTACCATTTAAAGGGGACCTATCATGCAAAACGCACTTTTTCATGTCTTTTATACATAAACATGTGTCCCCTCTGAAAGTTTCAGGAAAAAAATATTCGCTCTCTTTTTGTCCTGATCGATTTATATAAAAACAGTCTGAAAATGAGCTGATCAGATTTTGGTCACTTTATGATGTCATAAAAAATGTTTGGGTTGTTTAACCATTAGCCAATCACCAACCAAGGTATTGTATTCCTGTTACCCGTGACTTTGTGATGAAAGTTATTTATTTTTTGTATTTATTATTTTATGTATTTGTATTGTTATTATCTTTTCTGTGACCATGACCTAATGGGGTAGGGGTGGAGATAGGGGGATGGGTATTTGTCTTTCCTTTAACAGACAAATTGTCCTGTACTTTATATAATTTGTTGAATGTGCCATGTCTGAAAAAACCATATAGAAATGAATACATATAGAACTCAAAACTGTGACTCAAAATGTAACCGGACCATCTTGCCCACAAAATAAAATCTAATAGTTTACTTATGAAATGTAATTACTGGATTGAACTTTGGTCAAAATATAAATTCTTATCAATGGCATTGACTGGTTATTATAGGTAATGATAGGATGGTTTAATCTTTATCGTTGCATTGCCTTTATCTTCGTTCTCCTGAAATCTGAAGGTGGAGTATGTTTTAAAGCTGCCTCTTTCTGTCTTAGTTCTACTAAAGTGTCCCCACTTCTTCAGCTTCTGTGACGCAACATCTGCAGGTTTGAGAGTGCTAGACGTCAGGTCTTTGCAGGAGTTTAAGTTCCTCACCGATGACGGTGGGCTCCAGGTCGACGAAGATGGCTCTGGGGACGTACTTCCCGGTGCCGGTCTCGCTGAAGAAGGTGGTGAAGGAGTCGTCGGGGCCTTTGGCTACTTTCTCAGCGGGCATGCGGCCGTCCGGCTGGATGCCGTGCTCCAGGCAGTACAGCTCCCAGCAGGTGTTGCCCATCTGGACTCCGGCCTGGCCCACATGGATAGAGATACACTCGCGCTGT